GGAAAATAACGTATACGCGTACTCGTCCAAAGATGAAAGTTCCTTAAGGCTCTTGGTGCACACTGCCAAATCGCTTCCCGAAAGAACAGTAATCCTTTCTGCTCCCGTGTTTAGCTTTAGGGTTTATTGTGGAGGCTTTGTTTTTCAAGCCCCTTTGCTTTGAAGTCTTTGTTTATATGTTGACTTTGGCGCATCCCTAACCTACGGCAAATGTTTTCTGTTGAGATGTTCCTGAGTTTTCCCTTTATTCTGGACACTTGCAATTGCTCCTCTGATGCTCTGCTGTTCCACAGGCAAACATGTTCCCCTCAGAGCAAGAACTGGAAAACAGCGCTCTGCCCACAGGGGCAGAGATCGGATTGCTGTTTGCAAAGCGACGCTCAGCATAATGAGAGTGTTTAGCAAAGACTGGAAGCGGCATTGCTACGTCACCTCAGGGCTGCACAACATGCCCTCAGACTGTGTACTGATATGCAAGCAGGTGCAGCTGTCATTCTGCTGTTGAAATTTTTATTTATTTATTTTTATTTTTTTGTTGTTAATCCTCACCTGAGGATATTTTCCCATTGATTTTTAGAGAGAGAGTAAGGGAGAGGGAGAGACACAGAGAAACATCGATGTGAGCGAGACACATTGATTGGTTGCCTCCTGCACCAGGCACCGTGACCAGGGCCCGGGAACCTGCAACAGAAGTATGTGCCCTTGACCAGAATCAAACCTGGGACCCTTCAGTTCACAGGCCCACACTCTATCCACTGAGCCAAACCAGCCAGGGCCACTGTTGAATTCTTAAAAGTGGGCCACAGAAATGCTTGTATGACATAACCCCATTGTGCATATTTCATATACACATATGCACACAAAACACAGAAATAATCTTGCAAGTGTATGTCCCAAGAAAAACAGATAGTGTCTTCTTGGGGGGTTGATATTACAAGTGATTTTTTTATAAACATCTTTATCTTTATTTATATGCTTTCATTTTAACGATAAACATTGTAAGTGTATCATTTTTTTAAAAATTTATCAACTAAAGTAACTCTCAAAATCATCACTATTTGAGCAATTGATTTTGTACACATGTCAATTTCCAGCTCAACGATATCAAGTCCCCCACCGTGATACACCGACTTCACAATCACTAAACAACTTGCTAGACAACATGACCGTCGCTCAAATCACACTACTCTGCTTCTAAAGTTTCAAAATAGGGTTTCACACGCTCTCCTGGAGAAGCCGTGCGGGAGAGGCTGCACACCCACTCCTGCCTCCTCCGCTCACCAGACCGGGAGCTGAGCCCTCTACACACCAACAAGCGGGCACAAACGTGATGGTATACACGTCAGAGGCTGCTACGCAGAAACACATCAAGCTGCGGACATCCACTTTACAGCTGGGCCACTTATTCTACATAAAAGTGCTGAGCACACTACCGGCCACAGGAAGCGCTCTGAGAGCGTTCGCCGCTGTGAGGAAGTTTCCTCTGCCGTGTTCCCCTTGCCTGCGCGTTGTCTGGCTCCATCCTTCTATGTGGCCCCGGCTGCCCAAGCCATGGCTGCGAGGAACCTAAACAGCAGCCGCTGTGTGACTCCTGCTCCCTAAGCGACCAAGCGCTGAGAGGCCAGCCGGACCCGGGCGCCCGCTCCACCTGCGTCCCTGACCCCGTTGGGCAGAACATGCCAAATCCTCGGGAGTTTTATTTCCTTCCGACTCATTGTTGATGGCTGTGCTGTCAGGCAAGGTTCCGGCCCCCATCAATCCCCTCCCCGGTGCTCCTGACCGCGGGAGCCCTGCACGCCAGGCGCTGCCCTCACCGCTCCGGCGTCTAAAGGCTCCCACCGCCCTCCGTCGGCCAGAGAAGCAGCCCTTCGCGGTGCCTGCATCCCACAGG